GCATCAAAAATAAAACCATTTGAAAACATGTCTGCGCGCGCGTGCGCGTGTGCGTGTGTGCGTGTGTGCATGCTGGGATCAAGACAACAGAAGAGGAAATTCATGGAAGGAACTGGGAAAACAGCAGGAACCATTTAAACATGTATAAGAATATGTGTTTTCTCCATACATGGTGTCTTACTGAGACACTGTTTAATGTTTCACTTTGATGACAAACAATAAGTGGCAGGGTTCATCATGCCAAAACAAACGCTGAAAAAAGTAAAGTACAGTATATAAATAAAGAAGTGGCCACTTTGATTCTGCAGAGGACTCTTTTTTAATTTAATATTGGTCTATTTTGACTTGTGATAAGAAAAAGCACAGGTGTATCTAATAACATCCACGATAAATTCACTCATGTGGAATGGCAAAAAACATACACTACACAGGAGTCAGCATGGCTTGCGGGCCAACAGCAGCAGCCGTCATACAGCTTCCTATCAAACACTTTACTGGCATTAACCTCATAAGACAGTGTGACAGTGAGCCAGCATGCACTACTGTATACCAGGACCCTGAAACTGAGCTGCTTTTCCTGTGACATGTCAAAATGTCTAATGTGAGAAAGACATGTTAGGGTATCAGCCCTGTTTCGTACAAATTAAATTCACACATTTACAATCATAGTCCTTGGAGGTCCTCAAAGGGAGGAGGTCGGTGTGGTGGATGGGTCAAACCAACACAGGACTTTCACCCATGAGACTACTGTTAGTGTCCCGTGTGAAACCAAAAGTCAACTTTTACTTATTTGAATTCACGTCCCTAGTTTAACATGGTAACGTTTGTTATATTATTTAAGCTAGGCTAAGTCAATTTAAGGCAAACCATGATGTTTTTACTAAACCTACCCTATAAGTTTTGTTGTGTTTATGTTTTCTTTTCATTTACAATGTTAACCAAGTGTTTTAAAACTTTTACCGTAATCCGGTAGCAAGTACCTTTCTCTCGAAACGTAATTGAGAATGCAGTTTAGTAATATGGGAATGTAATTTTGTTAGAGAGAGGGTAGCTTTATGCCAATCTAAACAGGTGGACTCTTTTTTGCAGAGCCTCTATGAGCAGGTTCACCATCCTTTATATTAGAGGTCAGTAATTAGGTTGAACTCAATATTGTGTGTCTCTATATTCTTAATTTAGGAAACACCGTAGAGGCGCAGGAAACACATGTAATGCTTGTTTCTTTCAATTAATGATTGTATCTGACAGCAGATGTCAATGTAATGTAGTGTAAAGTTGTGAAAGTCTGTGCGCTGGTATGTGCAGTGTTAGACTGACATGATAATATGGCAATTTTATGAAGCTGATTTCATGTTTAATAAGTGTTGGGAGTCTCATTATTATCCATGTCTGATGATGGATGAATAAGCTGCTCCCTGACTACAGTTCATGCCCTCATTATAATGCAGCATTTTAATCAGATTTCATGCAACAGAAACAGAGAACCATGTGCCATGGAGGGCTGCAGTTTTTTATTCCAACCAAATACTTCCCCAGCTGATTTCTCTGATTCCTCTCAGGTGAAGGGGGTGAACTCGTCAGTGAAGTCTCCTGCTGAGATGATTGGTAGAGTGAAAACCTGCTGATTGTTAGCCCTGCATGGCACATGGTTCAAAATCCCAAAGCAGGAATTCAGTAGTTTCACATTTACAATACTAGCAGAAAATAACTTTAATAAAATGTCAGAAATTGACACAAACCTTGAAAAGCCACAGTTTGGCCGCAGTGCTTTGTGCCTTGCCAGCAGTTCACCCGTCACAACAGTGCAGCCATGCCTGGAAGCATGGCACTCTCCCACTTCCTGCACTGCTTTTGGTCAAAACTGCTGGGTCAACCCACTTCCCTGTATTCTTCTGTCAACTCTGGGAAAAAAGCCTTAATATCCTTCCTGCCTCCAAGACGCTGGCCGTGGAGGCGTTGTAAAAAGCCATCCTTGAGGGCAACTGCACTGCGCCTCAACACAGGCTGAACTATTGTCTACTCTGTCTTTCTGTCTCTAAACCCTGTTGTTTTGCCTCTCAGAAGAAACAAAAAAACCCTCTTGTTTCGCTTCCTGGACAGTTTCAGATGGAATAAATATTGCCTGATATCTTGCCATTTGTTTGTTTAGGAGGAGCATGTAATGATACTGTGATTGTTTTGTGGTCATTGAGTTTTTCTTTTCCAGCTTTGTGCCTCACAGTCCGGACACAACAGCAATGTCAACATCATTGACCATCACCCACTGACAGAGATGACTGCATTGTTTGACTCTGAGTTTATTTACATGATGCAAAGATAAGATTTGAAACCGCACCACTGGGTTTTCTTTGTATTGTTTCAAGATTTACGCAGACACACATCAAATCCTTCATGGATTCAGCTGTCCTGTCTCTTTGTAAAGGTCAAGATAATATTGTTGTCCAAATAAAAGAATGACGTCTGAGTCTGAACGCACGCACACACATGCTTGACAGAGTAAACTCTCTCAGTGTTCTGAGGTGTTGAGGCTGAATAAACTTGATTCATTTTTCAAAAGCACATTTTCTCAGGAGTGTGAAAGAAGTCATTCATTAAGTTTTCCACCTAATCGAAGGAGGCTTTCAGAAAGTCTGAATTTTCCTGTCTTATGTACTGGTTTTGCTTTGTATCAATAAAGGGCTTGTTACACCAGCAAACAAAAAAACTAAATGTATTCATTGCAGATTGTCTTCCTGTTTATAGAGTGTAAGTTAAAGGCTTAGTGAGGTAATGCTCGCAGGTTTAGTTGGTGAAGTTGACAGGGTAACAGCTAACACCCTAGCGATCTAAAACATGCCAGTTCTAATTAATAGCTCTACAAGTTACTTATTATTTCTCTGTTCCTTCTGTTTTCTCCCCCCTGGCATTTTTTCGCTAGGTCGCTTCGGTACAGTTAAGTTAACAAGTTTATCAAACGGAGATATCTGTACCATCGTCTCATTATTGTTTAAAAGACATAGCACTTTTGTGGAACAGTTTATAAACTGTAGGTAACCTAAATAAAAGAAGGTAGATAAGTAGGCTTAGTAAATGAAACAAAAACACAATAGCTGCAACACAGTTAATGAGCTACGATGTCTTCCTCCATTTTGGACACACAGATTCTCGGTTTGCACAAAAGTACGCTCTGTCAATGGGGTTTATTAGCCAACAGCAAGTTTAATACGGCACAATGTGTTCTCACTAGCTAATCCACTGATGATACATTTTGTCAGGTCAGATGCTGGTGTGACCAGGTGTTTGGTGTGGTACAAATTAGGCCGGAGGCATACTACGGTAACCTCACCATCATTTCAAATATGTATTTGTCATAGAAATTGTTAGGCTGTAAACTTTTCTTCTGGTAATGGTGCTGAACATGGAGGTAAATATAAAGAGCTCAAAAAAGTTGAGAAGAGCTGAATTTCACACTCCTACGGTACAATGCAGATTGGATCGATCAGAGATTGCATGCGTTTGCAGCTTCATGTATTTGTGTCAGCTTCTCTGTCATATGGTGTGTCCTCCCGATTGCTAAAGAAACAGTGCGAAAAGGCAAACTGGGACAGGAAGCATAGTTTTGGTTTGAGTGTAATTGTAACCTTATATCTACAGTAAATAAGTCAGCGAGCAGATCTTCAAATGATAAAATGAAAATGCCGATGCAAGCCTGTAATGATTGCGTTTCATTTTGACAGTGATGGATGTTTAGTGCCACACTGACACACACATTATCAAACCTCTCACATTAAATGACTTAATGAGATGAATTAGATAGCCTGGCAGGTTTTATTTGTAAACGGGGCCGCTCAGGCGGGTGGAGCAGCTTCTGGATGACTTCAGAGGCACCAGGTTCCTGGCGGGTTTGTTTCATGGAGGAAACACCTGTAGGCTGTGTGATGAATGATGACACTTACTGAATGTGGAGCATGTGAGTGTTTGTTTAAGATTAATCTACACTTTATGACCCCTGCGCTGGGCTGGAGCTCATTCAAAAGGAGGTTACACAAAAACAATCCTACTAAAAACCCACCAGAAAGTTAAGTCTAAAGGAGTCGCTAGTAGAAAACTGAAGGAAGGCAGTTTGAATCCAGCATGGGAATGGCGGACACTGCCACTATTAGTGAAAAAGACTGTATAGAGAGGTAGTTACAGAATGTAAATACAATGAGTGGCTATTGCAGGAAAAAATGGCAACCATATAGTGTCAAAAATGGGGTTTGATTTTTGTTCATAAGAATATTAAGGAGTTTAAGAGGTTTCTGGCAATCTGACAAGTATATCGACTGTTTTTTGTTGGCATCTAAGTGGTTGATGATTGTTAGGCATGGTATTTTTTTTATTATCAAAAGATTCACTTTTTTAGCTGATTCAAAGGAACAGAAAGCAACAGACAACAGATGCCTCTGGTTTTGCAAAACACTCCTGAACAATCGACCTCATGCAAGAACATTCTCGTCTTCTTATCTTAACTTTCTGTCATTTTTTTCCCTTATGGTGGGCTCGTACGAGTGTGCCTCATCAGATTCATCAAACGCTTCTAACTTCAGATAGCTGTGTAAATGGCTAGCGTAAACATGAAGTGTGCGTAGATGAGTGCATGCGTTCATGATAAATGTAAATTAGCATAATTAAAACATTTTAACACCGCAATAATACCATATAGGGCTATGCATCCTGCCCCATATGTCCTATATTGAAGTCCAAACATTTTTTTAAAGTAATGAAATATACAATCCATTAGTGAAAAACCTAGGCTTGGTCAGCGGTTGACTAATTGCACTTGACTCCTACGACAGGTCTGGACCACTGGTAAATTGTGTAAATTGAAAATATAAGAAAATTGGTGAATGCAGACCTGTTCGTACGAGTGCTTATTGCGTGAGGCCCAATGAGTTAAATCACAGATCGCAAAAATTGACCTAGAAAGTGCTTGTTTTCTGTGTACTTGCTTTGTTCACGTAATCAAGGAGAGCAACCACTTATTTTAAGAGAGATTTAATCAGTTTCCATAGACAAAAGTGTGCAGGTGAGGGCTGACATACAGAGATTGTTGCCTTATGCTTTGGAAGAAAATAAAATAGCAGTGCTTGGTTTCGTTTGCCTCGTGGCTGTTGAGGATTGCGGTTCAAAGAACCAATGAAGTGCGTACATTAAATCAAGCCGTTCCCCAAAGGGATTCACTTCAAAGCATCAGTGTATATCTCTCACTGGTCTAAGTAACACTGGAGAGTCAATGCAGATACAGTAGACAGCACGGACAGAGAGCATAACTGTACAGTATGAGGTTTCAATGTCAGTTCATAGTTCTTTGTTTCCATTGAGAACCCCCTCTTTGTGAGTATCAACAGTATTTTACTCAACAGTATCTGATAAGTAACATTGTTATAAAACAGTCCCTTGAGGCTCAGGTAGTCACACAAGAAATTTTAGTCCCAAAATGTATGGATCGTCGTGTTGCTTTGTTTTTGGGTTGCACAACCAGTGTATCCTTTCCAGTGGCGACAGCCATTTTAAGGAACTCAACAGTAAGATAAAACTTGCAGAATCAGTATTAAGTCCAAATTTGGCTTATTTTCTTTTCTCCAAGCCATCATACAGTATCATGTTACAATGTTGTTTTCTGGGAGTCATTTCCCACCAGTTTAGACTTCAGTCACTGCCTCAGAGGCTTAGTGGATACTTTGGACTTCAGCAAAGGTTCAGAGGTCTGACATAAATCTCCGACGTCAGCGATCCAGATCCATGAGCTTCAACGAATGCCCAAAGATTTGGTCGATTGTCACGCTGGTCAATTTACCCATTGAGTGATGTCAGAGTCAAACTCCTCTGTGTCTCTAAGAAAGAGTTCGACCATTTGGGAAAATAGGCTTATTTGCTTTTTTTAGTCAAGAGATAAATGAGAAGGTCAATACATACAATACTCTTTCGTGTCTCTACGCTAAAAAATAAGCAGCTGGTTAGCTTAGCTTAGTTTAAAGGAATACGTCACCCTTAAAATTACCATTTGTATATCAATTACTCACCATGTGTTACCTTGAATTCTTGAGGAAAACAAAGTAAATGGGGCCCTCGTTTAATAACAGCAGAACTATATCATTATCCGTTTACAAACTCGCACACATGTGCAATAAACTTTTGTTAATCCAGTAGCATGCTCAGTACATCACTAACACATGCATTGTTGCCAAAATTGGACTATTTAAAACACTTCAGTTCCGAAGAGTTTTCTTCCAGAATCCCAGGTAACACGTGATGATTAATTGGCATAAAAATGGTCATTTTGTGAGTGAAGTATTCATTTAAGGCTGGATACAAGGTAAACAGCTAATATGGCTCCATCCAAATGTAACAAAATCCACCTACCAGCACCTCTAAAGCTCTGTAATTAACTGTGTTATCTTGTTTTACAAAGTGTAAAAAGCGATAAGTTGTGGTTTTATGGGGGGTTCTTTACTATTTCTTGTTCAGGTGCTGCTCCAAAACGTATCATTCTTCTGTTTTTTATATTGTATTTTAAAATATTAAAGATAATACTACTTTGTACTCCAAGGCAATACCTTCCACATTTTCCTTGAAAGTTTATGTGATTTGTGGCATCACTTATGAGGTAATTTGACCAGCTGAAGCAACCTTCCAAAACCTTTGTGCACGCCTCTATACAGAATTGTTTTAGTGGAGAGGTCCAAACTCAGCCCGTCTCCATCTTCTTCAATCTTCCATCTTCCTCTCCTCCTAAGCCAGGATATCACTCCTCTTGCTGCACCAGACCACCAGTGTGATCATGGCCAATGTAAGGACAACAGGGATGAGGATGAGGATGGTTAGCTTGTCGTCCGGCGGGTCCACCCATACCACCTGATCCATGGGGCAGTTGGAGAAAAAGTGCTTGTGTATCAGGATGATGTAGCTCTCCACCAGCGGATTGGGCCAGTAGCAGCTGACGTTTTCGGCCTTTTTCTCTGTGCAGAGGGTGAAGAGGTGGTACTCACTGGGAAGAGAAATGGGTGAAAGAGAGGGGAAGGATTAGAAGAAAATCACAACTGACTTTGGGCACACAATAATTTAAAACCCTATTACTATTTAGCTGGTATTCCTCGAAGCAGTGAAGGCTCGGTAACTAATCCATCATCGTGACCGGGGATATTCTGCCATTTATTTTCTGGCCCACTACTCTGCTCTATTTAAACAAGCTTTCAGTGCTGTTCAGAGCCGCCGTAAAGCTTTCCAGTCTCAGAGCTCTGCTTTGATGAATCCATTCAGCCAACCCTAAACCCTCTTCTTTCTCCATCCTGAATTTCAATCAGCCAGATCCAGATTTGTTTCTCAAGACATCCTGGAGCCATTGGTATTCTCAGCAGCACATCTAGAACATAATGTAAAGCACTGTATTTCGCCACTCCACAAATAGTTGTTAATAAAAAATGGAAGTATCAGAGCTTTCAGGCAGAAGTGATCAAAATGCAGCATGCAGGACTGTAGGGAATAACAACACTTTCGAAGTTTTTTACACAACAGCTAGCTGGTTTTCAAACTGTCCACACACAATAAACAGGGTAAAAAATAGCTTGACCAGGTTCACAGTTGATTGACTGAAGGAATAACTTGGTTTTGAACACATTATATAACTGAGGACATGACTTCAAAAGAATATACAGCACACGCACATGATATTTTGCCAGAGACACATTATATTTGTGCATGCCAGTTTCTGACGACATAAGATACCGATAGCTTATTGTATCTAATATGATATATATTTTAAATTGCTCCCGTAGCTGTGCCTACGGTGTGATAGAATCTGAATTGTAAGTCGCTTTGGATGAAAGTGTCTGCTAAATGACAAGCAAGATAACCCACCACATCTGTTTAATGGCTGATGAACGCTGCACATTCATGTTTCTTAATGGTGTACCTCTAAATATACATTTTAGTGAAGATGGTTCTCTCGACTGGCTGATATACTATGTGAATGCTACTGACAGTCACTTCATACATGCATCTAGCTCACCTTGATGCATTCACATAACAGACACACTAACACACACTAGTATAAGTATGCAATGCTGCTTCTCTTCATTGGCATTTACCGTTTTTTCAGTTGTTTGTTTATCTTCTGAGACTGATGGCTCTGCTAAGTGGTAAATCAGATTAAACGAATAAACACTTAAACAGTGCGGAAGAGAATTTCTCGCAAATGAGGCAAAGCCTTTTTTTCGACTATGTATCCCATGTTTTGTTACTTACATCGTTGTGCAGAGCAGTGAATCATTTTATGATTTTTAACCATTAACCGTGCTCTCTTTCCATGGACAGCCTTGTTACCAGTAGTGTGGACCACATAACCCACTTAAAATGAGGCTTGCTCATCTAAATGGTACATTAGTTATCATTAGTGGCAGTAGGAAACAGCTCTGATGACTTTAGAGCAGCACCTGGTCCGCACAGGAACTGACCATAATTCCTAATAGTGAATATCCAGTATATTATTAAAAGGTCCAGATAAGCCAACACTACTGTTCCCCTATTCCGTTGTGCTCAAAATTAAGGCTGGCTACTCTCTGGGCTGCAAATTGCTCCAGGCAGAAAATCAATTATTATTAGAGGTAGATGATTGAAGTGTGTAAATACTCGTACAGACACACACATACACGCACAGGTTGTGTCTTATCGGCTTATATCCAACGATAACAATCACGTTGGCTGAGTGTTTGGCCAGCAGCTAGGACTGCAGAGAGGCACGGCTCATTTGTCAACGAGAGCTTTGCAGGGGTCGCTGCTTGTTTAAACATGAGGCCCCTTGCTCTTCCAAGCCCGATCCCCTCTCACCACTCTCTTGTTCCTCTTGTGCCTTCGCTCTGCCTATTTCTTTCCCGCCTTCTTATCACCTTCCTCCAGGCTCCAAAGTAAACTGCCGCTGAGAAAGTCTGTGTATCCTAAATTAAGTATCATGCACGAATACACCCAAATGAAACATTCCTCTCATAAAAAATGTGGACTAATGCAGGCAGTGTTCCCGGAAAGGCAAGTCATGTTGTGTTTCCCGCTACATTTTGGCTATGAAACAGTCTTTGTTAATACGTTCTTTCATCTGTCAATCACACTTGATGTGTCAGACATCACTGAACAGATCAGAAGTTGGTAAAAGGTGCTTCTGACTCTTTGAAATCTCTCTCCTTATCCTTTAGTTTTGAGTCGATAAGCATTAAGGCTTGAGCAGAATAAGAAGAAAATGTCAAGAACAGAGCTCAGGCTTTACACCACCCAGCCTGCACTTCAGGTAGACCAAAACAGCCCTTGAAAGGATCCAAAAAAAAACTAGAATTACCAATCATATTGCAGTTAACACCCATGGCTGTCCAAAATGTCATCACGTCAGCTTTTTATGCTATAAGACATCTGTGTGAAATTGTCATAACTAGCATGTGAATTTTTGAGTTATGGACAAAAACATGTTTTGTGAGGTGACAGTGACATTTGACCACCAAAATCTAATCGGTTCAACCTGGAGTCCAAGTGCACATGGGACAAGTTTGCCTTCAGGACTTTCTGTCATATTTAGGCAACAATTCTACATGGTCCTGTGTTATGGTGTTTCTTTTGAAACCAGCAGGGACTTTCTGTATTTCTCAAAGTGAAAGTCAGACAGTATTCAACACTAATAGCACCCTTGTTCAAAAACACACAATCAAACTGACTTTAACCGCCTCACGTTTCACTAATCTTCAATTTATATTTCCATAAAGGATCACCCCAGGTCATTTTCAACTTAAAGCTTATTTTACCCGTTCTGAATGATTTGCATTGTGAAATTCAACAGATCCCACAGGGTTGTGTCTCGTAGCACAGCCAGCAGATCTTTATGACTTGGACTCCTGTTGTGATCCTGTCATGCATTTACCTGACAAATGTCAGAAAAGACCTGCCTGTACTTTGACTTTAATACTACTTGAGACACCATTTGGACTTGAGCTCTGTAATGTAAAAGACTTGATACTCTTCACTACTCCCACTTGAAGAATAATAGTTGGACCAGCTTCATGTTCTGAGCCAGAGCAGAAATCCAATGTTCAGTGTAGCAGAGTATTTTTTGGGCTGTCTCTAAACTGTATTAAAGCTGAGATTAAATGAGAGGAAGGGGTTGAACTTGGATGAGAACTACCGTTGATACCTTTTTTGGTAAACTTGCATTCAACCGATTTTTTGGGGCAGTGGAAATGAGTTTTAAACACAACACTAACAATTATTACCGTTTAATCTAATATTGCAAACGTGTAAGCAAATATTTGCCTACTTACCCATCAAACGGATAAGGAGAAACATTAGCATTCTTTGGTCATTTCGTTTGTGCCTACCCAAGGAATATTAGTCCAATCACTCTCTTTTAGCTCTGCTTTTGGTCTCCACCAAGTCCTGTTAGAAATATCTGGCTCTTTAGATGCTAAGTGTTCCACTATGTTCACCAGTTAGTTGCCAGCTGTTGTGTGGTGTTGCGCACGCAGTGTACAGTGGATGAGCTTTTTCGCCAAAAACATCTGCCTGCTGTGTCTGGAAATGAGAGAACTATGAGAGAACCAAAACAGTACGTTTTCAGGCCAGACCACTAAAACAATCATCTGAATAAAACTAATTGCTCCATTAAGCTGAGGCGGAACTGCAGAATCGGATGACTGAGTTGGTTGACACACAAGTAATACTTTGATCCATTTGAAGAACATTGACTGTAGCAGCTTTAACTTAGCTTTGGCATTTGGTTTGCTTTGTCAACTGCCTGGATCTAATTTCACATTTCATCGCCCTACAGTTTTGCTATTTTCTATCCAATTATTGTTTCTGTCCAAGCATTCCTTATATACATTTCCACAAGGCATTCATGACTTCAGTGCCGACAAAGACTTGGTCCCACCGCTGACAGCCAGACCAATAGATGGCTGTTGAAATGTCTAAATGGAAGAGTCAGTTGCTAACTGGCCTCCCAAATGTTTACCGTGACCATAATGGCTATAGTCAGCCATCTGGCTTTATGAGCTTCATGTTTAGATAACACAGTTACTCTTGGTGTGGTTAATTTCATCCAAAAGCTTACCTTTATCTCACATTTTGGACTTCCTTTAATTTTAATTAATAATAATAAATCAGTGTATAAATGTGTGAAACTGTATTCGTAGAAAAAAATGTGTTGCTGCAAAAAGGTATGATGAATTTTCAAGGAAAGAAATAATGGTTTAAAAGAAAAACAGAGAGAGACGACTGATGGATGAAGCTCGTGGTTCCTCTTCCCAGAATCTTTTATTACATTTGTCCTGAAACTCTTTTGAATCAGATGATTATTTTGGCGTTGATTTTAAGCTCCCATGTGTATGTGTGTGCAAGAAACCTCAAGTCTCATGGCTCTCTCCCTCCACCTCTGGCTCCGCAGTTAAAAGGAAAAAAGGGTGAATGCGAGAGGTCAAAGGTGAGCGGAAGGAATGAGGTGGAAAGCGGGATAAAGATAGATACAGATGGGTGGTCAAGGCTCAGATGCTCTTTAAAAACAGCTCTGGTTTTGGGAAGCAAACCTCCAGCTGTTCTCCCTCCCACACACATCCAACCAGCTGTATGAGGCTGAGATGGATTACAGTCTTTCTATCAATCAAGTGTTTTGTTGAAAGTGCCACCATGTAGAGCTGACAACCCCTTAACTGAGACTACAAATATAGAGCAAACAGACAGGAAGACAACAGTACGTGAGGAAAGAGGACTGACAAAGATAAGAGGGTGACTTGCTGCAGGCCAATTTTGGATAATCACAAAACCATTTAATGGCAAAGAACACCAAAACCTATTTTAAGAATTAAGCAGGTACAGTTATTCCCATGCTGCTGGGTTGAAATCTTCTTATCGGCATAAATAAGGAGTAGGAGCATAGCTGCTGATGATCCATTTGGGGAATGTAACAAAATCACGTTAGGCAGTGAGAAATGCCTCAAAATGCAATTATAACTGAGCTGATTCTGTGTCTGTATGTGTGTGTGTGTGTGTGTGTGTGTGTGTGAATTTCTGAATGCCGGCATCTGCTACATGTGATGCAAACAAATGCAGCTAGGTATGGAGGATGCAGCAGAGATGTAAACAAATATATGACGGCATTATTCGGATACACTGATTTGTCATCTATTGGCACAATTTGCCTCAACTTTCACACCATTTCCTCTCATTCAATTCAGACTTTATGTTTTCAGTACCGACATTAAACCATGTGGTTGCTGAGTGTTAGTGCTAACAGCTAAAGCAGTATGACTTTCCATGATGCAAAATCTCCAAAATGTCAATAAAGACAATTAATTGTAAACAGTTTTAACTTCAATATTCGGGAGGGTTATCTGCATAACTTGCCATCAGTTTTTCAACAGATTTGTGGTGCAGTGCAAACATAAAGCTTGACAGATGTTGCACAGCTGTGAAAATCCAATAGTGAAGCCTGCACCTTCAGCACAAAAGACTACTACTACTACTACTACTACTACTACTACTACTACTCCTACTACAGAAGACAAGATGAAGTTAGCGAGCGTCTCAAAGTGCATGCCGGATGGCCAAGAGATTGCTGCAGATTTCTTTTAAATTCAAACCAACCTTAATTTCAACCTATATTTTCATGAGGATCTTTATTCTTTTTTGTTTTTTAATATACAAGGCCCAATGAACTTTCACGGCCCAATTTTTTGCCGTAGCTTTTCATTCATTTCACTTCATTCCAATTATAAACACACATATAGTTGATGAAAATCATGCAATATGGCCCAATGCAATTTAGACTTGTATTTACTCACTGTTAAAACTGACTTTTCTTCCACTAAGCCTATTCATGTCCATCAGATTTTTAACATTAACACGTTTTACCCATGGCAGTAGCTCTGCACTGCTCTCATACAGTGGTTACAGCTTATAACGGCGTCCTGACAGCGTCCTGGCAAAAACATAGCACGCACCTACCCTCTAGTTCCCCCCGGTTAACACTGTTATACACTGTTATACACTGTTATATACTATACATAACATAATGTAGTACCTGATGAAGTGTGTGAGGTTACACCAGTACTGTGGATCTATGTGACCCATGTCCCGCTTGAAGCCCTCTCCACAGACCTCCACCCCCAACTGCAGACGGGACTCATTGCAGGGTTTCTTCGGCCGGGGGGGGAGTGGGCTCTATGTTGAAACTGTCAGTGGCTGCGGGAACAGAAAGAAGAAGAGCACTTAGAGGTGCACATATCCTGCTTAGTGGGTTTTACCTCTGATAAATGGCCATGTCAGTAAAGTGACTGAAATGAAACATGACAAAGATGGATGTTGGCCTGTATTTTGTTGTTATTTGTGAGCTGTGAATTTGAAAATGATTTCTTTTCTTTTTCTCATTATGTCCTGTCAGAAAGCTGTGACTTATGTTTTTCATACTCTCCATTTTAATTTTAATTTCCACCCACTACCCTCTTGGAACAGTGGAAATGTCAGTTTCAACTTCCCACGAACACAATCTTATTTTTCTTTGCTGCTTCCTATTGTTGCTATTTTTCTGCAGCAATTCGGTTCAGTTTCCCCCAGAGACTGACACAGCGTGATCTCATTTCATAAGATGGATATGCTTACCTGACAACCCCCTCATCATCCAGGCATTGACTGTAAAGAAAAAAAAGAAAAAATGTGTCAAATAGAGTACATGACTAAGGTTCCCACATGTTACATATATTCAATAAGAAAAACAATATTACTTAATTTACATTTTCTGATTTCTGCTTCTCTCTGTGACCAATGATCAACTGATTGCAATCAACTTGTCAATCTCTGTAGCGTTCAGCATTGATAACAAATCAGTTTTAAACAATGCAGGGACTAACTGCTCAAAACACAAGAGCCACAGTGGGCTGTTAGATGGGGATGTGCAGACAGCAAGTTCCTACTGCAGGCAATCAGCACCACAAGTCTGTCATCAAGGTTTCCCAACCCCTAGGCCCTTTTATTGACCTGTTGCATGAGATCCACTGCATTTTCAGCCATGTTAGCAGCAAAACTTCCCATGAGCCTCGGCTGTACTTAGTGCCAACTAAAGTTTGCATAAGAGAGTGACAGTGGTAAACTCTAATACCTGATAATCATCAGCAGATTATTTGGGGACATATAAGAACCAGATCATTTCTAGTTTTCATCTATTTGTGCGACCATTTTCGTGAATGAATGAGACAAAAAAGAAAATCTACAAAAATAAATTATTAGTCTTTTCAGTTTCCTGTGTTTTCATATTTTCAGTGTTTTGGTGAACACCCAGCAGAGGTAAAGAACAAAGGAAAGAGACGGAGTAAGAACAAACAATTACAGTTGAAGGGAATTGTCCGCTGAATACAGAAGTGCATCCATCATACACACTTTTAATACACTTTCTCTCCCCTCCCTGTTCTCGGATTCAAACTCACAGCAGCCCACTTTTTTTTCCGCAGCAGAGTGTTACGGATGACCAAAGCTAAACGTGCTGCTGCACAGGAAGGTGTATCTCCCTTTGAAGTGGCACACTTACAAAGCGAAGAATCAGTTGGAAAGATGCCCCTCAGGACAAAGACTGCTTCCAAGTTAGCGTGCTAAATATAGAGACTTGCTTGTTTGAGGATGTTTTGAGGTGCAGTGTTTGTGATGGGATGAGATTATTTTATTCATTCTATTTGTGTGTTTGTCTTAAATATTCTATAGATCAAGTATTTGAGGAGATGCTGGCCTGGTTTTATTAGCTGCACTTTAATTAGCTTTTTATATGGTTCCACCCTGACAAGTTGTTTTTTAAATCTAGAAGACGGTTAAGTTTACAGATCCTTCAAAGGAATATTCTGACACTTTTGTTAATTGTGCTTTCTTGTTGAGAGTTCGATGAGAAGATGTGTGCTATCAATTTTCTTTTCTAACTCGCTGCAATAAAGCAAATAATCATGTATCCCCAAATATCAAACTATTGCTTTAATATTCTTCAAAACTTCTCCAACTTAAAAGTACCAGTGTTGGCATTGAAAACCAGGGTTTTTTTTAAGACAAAGAGCACAAAACAAATAAAGTGATGTATGGCAAAGCCCAACCTCTCAGACAGATAAAAAGATATATATTTATGAATTGAACTTGCTGCATTCAAAGATATAAGTTATAAGAGCAAGAATGCAGAATCGCATAATTCCTGCAGTGCTGGAGTCCAACAAAAAAGGAAAAAGCAAGTAAAAGTTCAAGGATGACAGGGACTTGGACTCAGTTGAGCTGTTTCGGAACAAAAGGCGAACCAGAAGGTGACAGGTGAGTTTATTAGATGGGATCGAGAGACAGCCAGGGGCACTGCCTGAAATCCCCGAGCTAGTCAGATGTCACAAAGTGAAATGTTCATATGCTCATCTGTTTTTGAGGCCCCTTGTTCTCTCAAGACATTAAATCCATTTCCCGTCTTCTCTTCAAGGCACAGACAGAAAATCATTTCTTAAGATCACAAGAAAGTATGTCCTTAGTGTCTAGGAATCAATACATCACATTCAATATTATGGCAAGTTACAGAGCACTCTGAAAATTGCACTCTTTGAAAGTTCTACGACTTCAAAACTTGGCTTTCAGCCCGCTGGTTTCCACAGGTCTCCTGTTGCATTTTATTTTTCCCACAAACCTGACACATTTCACACTACAGTATAGATTCATTTAAGTAGTGTAGTTGTAGGTCAAGAATGTAAATGGATGGTCATTGATTTCACCAATTTAAACAGAAAAAGTGAATATCTTTTTGTCTAACATTGCTGATTTGGATGTTTTTTATAAAGTGCATGACCAGATTACCAAACACCGTCTAGATGAACAAAACAAAATACTGTAAATCTGCTGCAATAGTTCCACTAAATGCTTTCATTTTCAGGGTTTGGGTGTCTGCGTTTTCTTAATGGACTATTTTGTCTCTCGATTATGTGACCTAACGTGCTACATTCATATCTTCTTCATGTTGTATGCAAATTACTATGTAAAAGTTAAATCAGCTAAGGGTATATTGCCTGATCCCAGTATTCCCAGTAATCTCATTAAAATAAATCTATGCTGGTATAACACATACATTATGCTGCGTCGGACAATGCTTTCTGTTAGGCATAAAGTTCAACCACACGGTTTCATACGAAACTGCTGAATGATTATAAAAAGACTGAAATCTGAAAATAACATACAACAATCTAGCAGCAGGATTCCCTTCAGCATGAGCTCTGCACAACAGCAGCAGGGGGAAGTTTGAAACTAAATCCACTCGATCAGCTTTATGAGCTGCGGGAATCAGCAGTGAGTATCTGGGAGATTTGGTTGACTTATAGGCTACAGTGCCAGAGTATGAACTATAGCTGCTTGGTGCATCTCTCATCCTGTCGTGTGACAGTTTGCCAAAACAAAGCATTCTGGATTTGGATGGCAGATACAGAGATGGGACTTTAACCAACTGTTTAAGTATTATTAACTGTTTGTTTTTTTCAAGCTGTAAACACAACACTGACATTATCACATTGTAAAGTTGCTGCAGCGAATGTGAAAGCCAATTGTTCATCTACACACCCAACAGATATGGAGGAATAATTCGACATTTTGGGAAACAGGCTTATTTGCTTTTCTCTTGCCAAGAGTTAGATGGGAAGCGGCAACACATTGAACTCTCCACACGAAAGCAAATTGTACTTCTCTAAATATTAATCTATTGCTTTAAGTCCCATAGTCGCACACATTTTAGGATACTCTTGGAAAAATGTGCAGCTTTGAAAAATGTACATACAGCATCTGTTTTCATGGTCTAGAAAAGCCCAAAGCTCATCAGAGGGCACAACCACCAACAAATAACAGCCTTCCAGCAGCATCTCTTCTATATACTTCTGCAGAGGAGAACAGCAGCAATGCAATTTATCCGTTGCTGCCACTACCATCACAAACGCTGAGTTGGCTGTGAGCTGTAGATTGTAGCAATGTCTTTTCAATTTACCGAAAACCACGAGTGTCTACTGGCAGTATCTCTGTGCAACAGCCCTTTTTGAATTGCATGAGCTGAGCTGAGACGGATGTCTGTGTATTTCTTGTCACTCCTAAGACAAAGTAAATGAAATATGTAAAAAGTAATAAATTTCAGTTCATTGAAGGCTCTCGTTTAGAAAGAACCACAACGGGGTACTACAGACAACTGAAGTTTCTCATTAGTCACATGTGGGGTGATGGTTTTCGTATTTGCTCATTCATCCGACCCTAATTTCAAAACACTTATCAGGTTCCTCTTCACTAAGTTCACAGTTATGCTAATGAAGCCTTTCCTGGCCACTGTGGACGCTGCTGGTCATGGATCAAGGCCAGCTTTTCATGATACAACCACATCAATTATGATTATGAAAAGGGGAAACTGCTTGCATATTGGAATAAACGTTTTGTCAAACATCATATGCAAAGTCATATTTTAATAGCTTTTTAACAACCTTTTGTCATGGCTTCAAATAAAATTGTGCATGCCTCTTGCCTTGTTGAATGCTTTAATATGAAAGTACCCTCAAATTGCTATTTATGGCGCAATAACTAAACTATTGATAGAATATTAAAATGACACAAACATAATAAAAGTGGCATAATTAAGTCTTCTTTTGTTTCTTAATTTATTCTATAAAGGAAGGAATCACCCATACTGCAGGATGTTCATTAGATACTTTGCACGTGCGGGGTTTTAAAATTAGCAAGTAATTTATTATTTATTGATTTATGTATTAACAGGCTGTAATTATTGGCTTCCTCAAGCCTCCATACCAAATCCACTTGAACAGGATGCGTGCACCTATAAGCAAGAATCAGTAAATACTTGTCATTAGGGGCGAGCTTTAAACCAACCAATCTTTTGCACAGAACTAGAACTGTCGAGTCAACTGAAATGTGGCCTTAGTTCTACATTGAAACAGCAATAAACTTGTGAATTATGCAGACCAAGCAGGGCTATTTTAAACTAGGAGATAACTAAATCAAGGTGCTTGAAGGTTTTACACGCTTGACAGCGTGCCAATCGAGTATCTGCTCAGTTGGCACCCTGTCATCCACTGCCTGTTAGGTTGACAAGATGAATATTGATGAGAAGAAATAGAAGATGAAGGAAAGTAGATGAATTGCCAGAACTGTCCAAACAGCACAGGCACAAGTGGCAGGACTTGTTCAACAACCCCCACCATATATCAGGTCTGCCTTGTCATCATCATCATCAGGACATGTTGGTTTAAACACATGGGAGGATGGAATAATGCATCCCAAAGAGGATATGAAGAAGGTTTTGTCTCACTCTGTATCTATGCCTAGGGCAATAATGTATTTAAAATCTAATCTGAGAAATTAAAAAAGGGAAATAAATCAGGTGTCCTTTTGTCTATTTGTCTTCCTGCTGCACCATCTGTCTTCCACTGTGTCTTCCCCCACAGACCTAAGTCACTGAAAACAGCAGCAGTTATAGTGCTGTGTTCACATACTGAAGACCACTGAAGTATTATGAACAAACTGTGGACATGTGACACAAATCAGGCAAAGACTTTGCTTTTCTGAATACATTTGAGGCTCGTTTTTATCTGCCAACAATGCTCAGCATTCATGAATAACACCCTGACCTCTCACTCCACTTT